TTAACTACCAAAAAAGTCTAAATTTGAGTTTTGACTCAACTGGCAGAAGTGCTATCCTTGAGCAAAAAAGTTCAAAGACATCCTTGGGCCAGGATTCAAGGCCCAAGCCTGGGAAAGAAAAGGAAGGGAGGGAGGGAGGGATTCAAAAGAAAATATAATTGAGTGCAATGGGACTCTTTAAAAGCAACCATGTAAGTCTTCACCAGATAGGAAGTCAAACAAGTCAATGGAAAAATGGGAACTGAGGACCAGAATTAGGGTTCTATATATAGTTCACTGATATAGTATATGCTTACTATGTGCAAGATGCTGGGCTCAGTCTCTAGCACCAATAAATAGGTAGGTAAAGACTAAAATGATCTTGGGAAAGAGAATTACAGAAAACAACAGAAATTTTTTTTCATGTAACAAACATTGAATTTTTTTTTTTTTTTTTTTTTTTTTAATTCTTAGGTCCGGTCATGGGACCTGAACTCTGGGCCTGGGTGCTGTCCCTCAGCTCTTCAACTCAAGGCTAGCACTCTACTACTTGAGCCACAGCGCCACTTCCGGCTTTTTTCTTTTTGCTTATGTGGTACTGAGGAATCGAACCCAGGGCCTCATGCATGCAAGGCAAGCACTCCACCACTGAGCCACTTTCCCAGCCCCTGAATAAATTTTTGAAAATTTTATTAACTTAGGTATGTAAAACTGAAGACTGTAGTACACAAAAATAATATTTAGCAGGGCGCCAGTGGCTCACACCTGTAATCCTAGCTACTCAGAAGGCTGAGATCTGAGGATCATTGTTCCAAGCCAGCCCGGGCGGGAAAGTCCGTGAGACTCTCATCTCCAATAAATCACTAGAAGTGGCGCTGTGGCTCAAGTGGTAGAGTGTTCACCTTGAGCGGAAGAGCATAGGGACAGAGCCGAAGCCCAGAGTTCAAGCCCCATTACCGACCAAAAATAAAATAAATAAATAAATAAATAATATTTATATTAACAAGATAGAAACAAATGTAATACATGAAAGGCTGACAGAATCATAAAAAATACAATCAAATAACTTTTCTTAATTGCTTTGGAAAGCTGTTCATTTAAAACACTGAAAACTCATGCTGAAAACCCTTTTAGAATCATTTTAATTTTAACTTATGTTGTTATAACAATTTCATGTTAATAAATCTTTATGCGAGGTTAACAATGTAAGATTTTTTTACCAATGCAGCATTTCCAAACAGCAAACATTCTATTATGTGCACATAAAGTTTTGCTTAGCCAGCTAAGAAAGTATTGAAATTGTCTTAAATAACTAAATTATTACCTGGGCACTGGTGGATCATCCTTATAATCCTAGCTACTTAGGAGTCTGATATCTGAGGCTGATGGTTCAAAGGCAGCAATTAACCACCCAAAATCTAGAAATGGAGCTGTGACTCAAGTAGTAGAACACTAGCCCTGAGTACAAAAACTTAGTGACAGTGTCCAGGCCCTGAATTCAAGCTCTAGGACTGACACCAACTACCCTCCCCTGCCCCAAAACACACACACACACAGAGACATCACACACAAACACCCTGAATCATTCTGTGTCACACTAATTCACCACATGGAAAATTAATTACAGATTAAAAAATTTAAAAATACAAGAAAAAGGCTGGGAAGGTGGCTCAGTGGTAGGCAGAGTGCTTGCCTTGCATGAATGAGGCCCTGGGTTCGATTCTTCAGCTCCACAAAAGCAGAAAAGGCCAGAAGTGACGCTGTGGCTCGAGTGGTAGAGTGCTAGCCTTGAACTGAAGAGCTGAAGGACAGTGCCCAGGCCCAGAGTTCAGGCCCCACAACTGACCAAAAAAATTTTTTAAAAAGGTGGCATTTGACATTTCATTTCACTTTCTGGAAATAATCCCTAAAAATTCTAATTTTTTAAGAAAAATTTAAACTTTTTTTAAATTTTTATTTAAATTTCTTACATTTCTTCAAACATGTTTCATTATTCTACTTTCATACATGTAAACTTCTTCAATCATGTTCCCCTCATTCGTCTTCTTCACTCTCTCCATTCCTACTGATACTTGCCCAGAAGAGCCTGTTTTACTTTGTCATTTTTTTGTGTGTATATTAATTATTCTAAGGCATTTCACTATGGTATTTTGCTTTTGCATGTATTATATTTTAACCAGACCAACCCCCACTATTGTTCTCTTCTTAACTTTCCAATGGTTTAAGTGAGATCCCTTATGCCATCTTCATATTCTAAGTATACAATGTTTCAATAGTATTCACCTTCCATCACTCTCTTCCTTCCTCTCTTCCCATAGTTATGATAAGACCCATAGTTATGATTAAATTCTATATATGAAAATGTACAGTATATTTATAGTGTGTATATACTGTATGTATTTATACACACATACACATGTGTTTTTAAAGTCTAGATTCCCCATATGAGAGAAAACATTCCATATTTGGCTTTGTGAACTTGGCTTACCTCATACAACTTTCCAGTAAATGACATAATTCATTTTTTTAAAGGCTGAGTAATATTCCTGGTATATATGTACCACATGATTTCATGTTCTTTATGGCTGAGTAATATTCCATGGTATATATTTAGTATACTTTTTTATCCATTCATTGACTATTGGCACCTTGCCTGATTTTACCTCTTGGCTTTTGTGAACAGTGCAGCAATAAATATAGGTATGCAGATGTTCTCTGGCATACTGATTTAAGACTTCTTTTTGGGCCGGGCGCTGGTGGCTCACGCCTGTAATCCTAGCTACTCAGGAGGCTGAGATCTGAGGATCGCGGTTCAAAGCCAGCCCGGGCAGGAGAGACCGTGAGACTCCTATCTCCAATAAAACACCAGAAAACCGGAAGTGGCGCTGTAGCTCAAGTGGTAGAGCGCTCGCCTTGAGCTGAAGAGCTGAGGGACAGCGCCCAGGCCCAGAGTTCAAGCCCCACGACCGACAAAAAAAAAAAAAAAAAAAAGACTTCTTTTTGGTGTGTGTGTGTGTGTGTGCATGCTTGTCAGTACTGAATGTGTGTGTGTGTATGCGTGTGTGTGTATGCGTGTGTGTGTATGTGTGCTTGTCAGTACTGAACTCAGGGCCTCGCCCTCTTGCTTATTTAGCTTTTTCATTCATGGCAGTCTACTACTTGAATCACACTTTTAGTTTTTATTTCCAGCCTGCCTGGGCTCGTTTCACCTGCAACCATAAGATCTCAGGACTGGCATTCTTAGCTGCATTCCCATAACCTTCCAAGGTTAGCGTTATCTCTTATTCTTGGAGCTCCAGTTGAAGGAGGAAGTCGGTGAATAAGGCCTCTCTATACCATAGCTTGTACCAAGCATCCAGCTAGCAAAAAACATCCAGGAAACAACTGACAACAAAGCCACTCACAAGAGTACACCCTCTCCTAGAAGGGTGGAGAGACCTTATCATTAAAGGCCTAGTACAGTGGCACTTTGTGAAATTGACACTACCAGAAGTCCACTGAACTTCTGATATGCAAGCTCCCTATCCACTGTCTGGTGCGAGAAATTGCTCAGGACTTCAAAACAGATCTGTGCTTCCAGAACCCAGCGATTGGTGCTTTACAGGAGGCAAGTAAGGCCTATCTGGTTGGCCTTTTTGAAGTTACCAATCTATGTGCTATCCATGGCAAATGCATAACAATTATGCCAAAAGATATCCAGCTAGCACACCACATAGATGGAGAAAGTGCTTAAGAATCCACTAAGGCTGGGTGCTGATGGCTCATACCTATAATCCTAGCTACTCTCTTCAATTAACCACTCAAAAATCAGAAATAGCACTGTGGCTCAAGTGATAGAGCACTAACCTTGAGCATAAAGAGGCTCTGGGACAGTGCCCCAGGACCAGTGCCCAGGACTGGAGTTCAAGCTCCACAACCGACAAAAAGAAAAAAGAATCCACTAAGATGGAAAACATTTCATTCTCAAAAAGTTTTCTCAGCAGGGTGCTGGTGGCCCACGCCTGTAATCCTAGCTACTCAGGAGGCTGAGATCTGAGGATAAAGGTTCAAAGCTAACTGGGGCAGGAAAAGTCCTTGAGACTTTTATCTCCAACTAACCACCAGAAAACCAGAAGTGCTGTTGTGGCTCTGGTGGTAGAACACTCTCATTGAGCTGAAGAGCTCAGGGGCAGAGCTGAGGCCCAGAGTTCAAGCCCTATAACCAACAACAAGAACAAAAAGATTTCCTTCTCATTTTCTTGTTATCAGTAGTTCTGAATGTTAAATTTTTTCCCCCCATGGGGTCAAAAAGTACCTAAGTATATGACTGCCAGTAGAAAAATATGGGACAGAAATCAGGATTGGCATTTTTTCCACTCTCATTTGTGTGTGAATTTTTAATACAATTGCAGGAATGTACTGCATTAACACAAGTCAAAATGTTTCCATGAACAAGTTTCAGCAGTTCAACTTTATAACAATTATAAATAAACCTATTAAATTTTCTGGCCAATGCTAGCATTTGGACTTTTTTTTTTTAATAAGTACATTTCTTATTGATGGCAAAAAAAAAAAAAAAACACAAGATCTTAGGATGCTGAGTAGCTAGTATAAACCACCAGTATGTTTAGTTGGTTTGGTTTGGGTTTTTTGGTCATAGGGCTTTAACTCAGGGCCTACATGTTGTCCCTGTGCTTAAGTCTAGGTCTATACCACTTTTAGCCAGAGATCTACTTCTGTTGTTCTAGTGGTTAATTGGGGATAAGAGTTTCATGGACTTTCCTGCCTAGTGGGGCAATAAGTCATCCTCCTGAGTACTTAAGATTACAGACATGAGCCACCAGAGCCCAGCTGTATTTCATTTTTTGAGGAATTTTTAGATGTATAGTGGTTATTAGCAGTTTACATTCCCACCAACAATATATAAAGGGTCCTTTTTCCCTTTGTCCTCACCAGTATTTGTAGTTGTTTATAAAACATGCTTTCCAAGATACATTTCTTTATCCCGACATTAACACCATCAATAACAATCAGAAACCCACCTCAGTATGTCTTTGATGTAATGCATTATATTCTTTCTTCAGTTCTGCTTCTCTTTCTTCAAGTCTGCTAACTGAAATTAAGACATACACACTCAATTAAAACAAAATACACAGTCAGAAATTTACTTGGACAAAACCTATCTTGAGTTATTCATAATCATTAGACCTATAATCAACAGTGTTCATATGAAATTCTGCAGTGATACCATTTCACCACCTTAATAAATAACACTTCTGGAGATGAGGAGAACAAAGGGAGTGAGAACAAAACACCCGATCAGTTTGTACATGTGTTTTTAATGTGATTTGAAATTACCTCTTTCAAACACACAGTTAATTCTGTGTAAGTCTTAATGTGGAATCAAACCCCAAATCATTAATTTCTACCATTTTTTAGTATTCTTCAGACTCTTTCAGTACTAACAGTTTATGAAAGCCTCACTGTTTCTAAGTACTCTTTTGCTTTTCTAGTCTTGTCAATTTCAAGAATTTATCCTCTTTTATTTAGCTCCCTCTGCTGATAGATTTTGTGAGTGGCACTGATGTGGACCTGTGCTCACAGAATACAACTTTCATGATGTCAAAAGAAAAGAGGAAAGGTTTTAGATCCCAAGATACAGAATGTTAAAATAGGATCTCCCAAGAGCAAATAATTAACAGCAAAGAAGAATGACTCTGAGAAGTGGTGGGATCTGAGTGAATCCAAGAAGAAATTACACTACTTAAGCCAAATGATAATGGAGTATTCCAGAGAAGTGAGCACAAAATCAGCTGGAGGAGTTCATAAGTGGACATAGTCACAGTGCCAGTGGATTGTCCAGATACTCAACTGTGTTAGAAAGTCTTGGTTGGGGGCTGGGAAGGTGGCTCATTGGTAGAGCGCTTGCCTTGCATGCCTGAGGCCCTGGGTTCGATTCCTCAGCACCACATAAGCAAAAAGAAAAAAGCCGGAAGTGGCACTGTGGCTCAAGTGGTAGAGCGCTAGCCTTGAGCTGAAGAGCTGAGGGACAGCGCCCAGGTCCAGAGTTCAGGCCTCACAACCGGACCCAAAAAAAAAAAAAAAAAAAGAAAGAAAGTCTTGGTTGGAAATGTTCTCCTAGAGTGAAGGTCAGTCAGGAGGTAACACACAAGGCTGTTTGTAATCTATAACCTGTGACTGGCCAAGAGCTATAGAAGCAACTAACACCCCAACAACTTGCTTATGAATATGTTTTATATGCCTAATGTTCACTGACACCAAACAAAATGTAGCACGTGCTACCCAGTAAACTCACCTTGGTTCTAATACCTTTGCCTGCCATAAATAATCTGAATAGCTTAGAAACAGGTCATTCTTTAAGAAAATTGTACCTCTTTGTGTTTTGATTTGCTTCTGATTCAAGCTTATATGTTTATCAGCCCATTAATGGATGAGTAAATTCACAACACAATATACATGCAACACAGCTTAACATACCAGGAAAGGACTGAGTACATCACAACTAGTAGCACACGTGTATTTGTGATAATACAATGGGTGCTGCAAGATTGGGTGCCTTTTGGGGGAGGTGGGGTGAGGAATATTGCCTTTTGAAACCCAGGGATTACGTTTTGCTAGGAAGGCACTCTATTGCTTGAACCAGGCTCCTGGCCCTTTTGGCTTGTTTCTCAAATTGGGTCTCATTTTTGGCCTGGACCACAATCCTCCTATGTATACTTTCTTTATAGATAGTACGACAAGTACACATCACAATGTCCAGCATTTATTGGTTGAGATAGGTCCCCTGGATGACTTTATTTTACCTGAGCTGACATGCAACAAGATCCTGCAAATTTTAGTAGCTAAGATTATGTACACGAGCCACCACACCTGGCTTTAGTGCTGCTTATTTTTTAAAAAGAAAAAGAAAAACACAAGCAAAATAGTAAACACTTTCTATACTTTTGAATAACTAAATTCATATAAACGCTGAGACTACTGGATAAATCATATCTACTTTAAATTATTGATCTTTTTCAAATCAGTAATTTCTTGTCAGGGTTAGTAACTTTTTTGTGTATGTGCTGGTCCTGTGGCTTGAGCTCAGGGCCTAGGTGCTGTCCCTGAGCTTTTGCTCAAGGCTAGTGCAATACCACTTGATTCACAGTGCTACTTCCTTAATCAGTAAACCAGTCTTTTTTTTTGGTCGTGGGTCTTGAACTCTGGGTCTGAGCGCTCTCCCTTAGCTCTTCAGCTCAAGGCAAGCACTCTACCACTTGAGTCATAGTGCCACTTCTGGTTTTCTGAGTGGTTTATTGGATATAAGAGTTTCACAGCTTTTCCTGCCCGGGCTGGCTTTGAACGAAGATCCTCAGATCTCAGCCTCCTGAGTAGCTAGGATTACAGGCATGAGCCACCAGCGCCTGGCAAGTATTTTCTTGACGTGAAACCAAAAGAAAAAAAAAATTTATGCTCAATAGGAAAGCCTTATTATTCTGTTTTGAGGGTGAAACTCAGAACCTATACTTGGTAAGCAGTGCTTAAGCATCTTGAGCTATATCTCCAGCCCTTTTGGCTTCAGTTATTTTTCAGGTATAATATTTTTTGTCCTTGTTCAGCTAGCCTAGACTTTAATTCTCCAAGCCTCCAGTAGCTGGTGGAGTGACAGGTGTGCCTAGCTCTACTGGTGAAGATGAGGTAAACCTTTTGCCTAGAGTTGCCTCAAACCATAGTCTTCCCAATCTTAATCTTCCAAGTAGCTAAGATTACAAGTATAAATCACAATACCCAGTAGAGTTAGAATCAATTAACTCATCAATTTGACATGAGTTCATAAATTTGTATCACCACCATCATTAATACCAGATAACATATAGTGCTTATTATATACCACGAACTGTTCTATGAACTATATACAGTCTATTAACCTTATGATGGAAAAATCACCATTACATTCATTTTAGATATAAGGAAATTGAGGCAAATTGGGGTTAACTTACCCAGTCACAAAGGTAATTCTCTAATAGAAGAGTCTGGCTCTAGGGCTGGGAATGTGGCTCAGTGGTAGAGTGCTCGCCTAGCATGTAGGAAGCCCAGGGTTTGATTCCTCAGTACCACATCCACAGAAAAAGCCAGAAGTGGCACTGTGGCTCAAGTGGTAGAGTGCTAGCCTTGAGCAAAAGAAGCTCAGGGACAGCGCCCAGGCCCAGAGTTGAAGTACCAGGACTGGCAAAAAAGAAAACAAAAACAACAAAAAAAGAAGAGTCTGGCTCTAGAACCTGTGTTCTTAATTACCATGCTACACTGGCACTCAGGAAATACTCATCTGTTATATACAATGGAGTCTCCTTTATGATTCTATCCAGGGGAGAATATAGGCTTCAAACAAAATACCCTCTGTTTTTATGGAAATAAACCAATTTTTGATACTCTGACAAAAAGCTTCAAACCGCCAAGCAAAAATACATACTCTCTGGGATGGGAATATGGCTTAGTGGTAGAGTGCTTGCTTAGCACACATGAAACCCTGGGTTTGATTCCCCAGTACCACACAGAAAAAAAGCTGGTGCTGTGCCTCAGAGTCTTGGGCACAGAGAGGTGCAGGGATAGACCCCAGGCCCTGAGTTCAAACCCCAAGACCAGAAAAGAAAAAAAAAAAAAAAGTGAGTAATAATGAGAAGACTTTGGGTTATTGGAGAAGCTATCCTTGGAAAAGACTAAGATAGCTCTCCTAAGAGCAAGTTATAAGAGGCAGCTTGACCCCTGAATCGTTTTCTGCATTCTTGTTTTGAGATGTGATCTCTCTCTCCCACTCCCACATGTGCTTTCAACATTGTGAAGTCATCTGTCAGTGAGCACTCACCAAAGGCACAACCAGTTCTACTACCTCAATCTTTGGGGTACTAGATCTGAAAGCTAAATAAACCTCTCTAGGGTTCTACAACTGAGAGCTAAATAAACCTCTTTTCTAAGTCTGCTTGCCTTATGTTATTTTGTTACAGTAATGAAAAATAGACTAATACATATATTAAACCCAAATCAAAATGTTACTACAAACACATCAAATTGGCTACATAATCAAAAACATCATGACCTGAAAAAAATATAGAACAAGTAGAACTTTCATATAGTGCTGGTAGAAGCATGGATTTGGTAAAAGCATAAATTGCTATACCCAAACTGAAAAGTATTTGGTAAGAGTTTATAAAGTTGAATGCTGACCCTATGACAACAAGTATACATATATCCACCCAGTTATACTTGGAATATGAAGTGAATGCCAAAGGCTTGATCCCTAACGCAATGGTCAGAGCTGGGCTTTTAGGAAGTGATTAGATATGACCCCATCAATGGAACCTAGGAAATGTCTAGCCCCAAACTCTTAGTCAAAGCAATAAGTGGATTGAAACTTACAAGATATTAGGTCAAAATAAACATTTCTTCCTTTAAGTTGCTTTTACTAGGGCTGTTTTGTCACCATGATGAAAAGCTGACTAACACAAAGTCACAGGCATTTTAAAATAGTGTTCAAGGAAGTACTATTAATAACCACCCAACCCTGGAAACTACCCAACTGTCTATCAATAGCACAGTATAAAAGTATTCATGAGCCAGGCACCTGTGGCTCACGCCTATAATCCTAACTACTCAGGAGGCTGAGATATGAGAATCACGGTTCAAAGCCAGTCCGGACAGAAACATCCATGAGACTCTTATCTCCAATTAACCACCAGAAAACCAGAAGTGCGCTGTGGCTCAAGTGATAGAGCGCTCGCCTTGAGCTGAAGAGCTGAGGGACAATGGCCAGGCCCAGAGTTCAAGCCCCATGACCAACCAAAAAAAAAAAAAAGTTCATGTATTGGAATACTATGTAACAAAAATGAATAAACAATGCTACAAACACCATTACCACTGACAGACAGTGCAAGCATGAAGTTGAGAAAAAGTAGTAGAAACAAAAGAACACAAAAAAGAAAAGACACATAAAATACTAAAGTTTTACAAGGCATGGCAGTGGTCACCTTTGGGGAAGAATTCACCAACTGATAAATGATATTATAAATACAATCCCACCTTAGTCCAAATACAATGAGTATCCATCCATTCACTCAG